GTAGGCCAAGTAGTCTTTGCGGACAAGGAGCCATCGGGTGGGACAGCTCTTCCAAGCAGCCCCACACAGCAGCTCCCAGGCGGCCCGAAACCTCGCCAGTGCTAACCACTGGCCTTTTCTGTGTCTGCCTGTCCCATGGGCTCAGGTTATAGCTCGTTGCTGTTATGTTTTGCATCGCTTCTGTTCTGAGGAAGAACGGTCTGTGCTTTTGAACATCGACAGACTATTTGCATTGCTTTCCTCAGTGACCTACTTCTTCACATCCCTTGTGCTTTTTTTTTTTTTTAATCAGATTATTGACCTTTTTCTTCCTGATCTCTTGGAACTTCAAGTGGTTTAAAAAGACAAAGTAATGCAGAGAGACACGCCTCAGGAAGATGGGGTGAGAACTGTGGGATCAGCTTCCGGAGGCTCCAACACAGGTCTGCCAAGAGCGGACAAGGGGGTACATGGAAGATGGACCAGGATGGGGCAGGTGGGCGCAGGGGCATTAGGCCAAGACAGAATTCTTTTTAAAAAAAAAAAAATATTTTATTGATTTTATACAGAGAGGAAGAGAGAGATAGTCAGAAACATCGATGAGAGACAATCATCGATCAGCTGCCTCTTGCACACCCCCTACTGGGGATATGCCCGCAACCAAGGTACATGCCCTTGACCGGAATCGAACCCGGGACCTTTCAGTCCCCAAGCCGACGCTCTATCCACTGAGCCAAACCGGTTTCGGCACAAGACAGAATTCTTTACACATGCCCTCACACATTCAGTTCATGCCTGGGATTTTGGCGGAAACGGGGTGTGGGAGAGGAGGGAGAGAACCAGGAACCACAGCTGACTCTGACAGTAGTTGGGTAGTTGCAGGTCTCTGGGGCCCGTGATAGAGGAGGGAGCCCCGGGCGGAGGGAGGTCCGGGTGGAGGAGGGTCTGAGAATGGCTGGCAGGGTGAGGAATACACACGGTGCAGGCGCTGCTCCCCCTGCGCACAGGGTCAGGGACATTTCCCTCATGGGGGCTGCCTGGCTCCTTGCAGTGCCCCCCAGTGGAATTCGTGGGAGGGGAATGTGCACGCATCGTGGTATGTCCAGGCTTGGTTGGGGATGCTCATGGACCCTGTGGTCCAGACCGATCGGAAGGCTGCAGGATAGACAGCCTCCTTTCATAGATTTCTGCATTGCTTGAGTAGAAAGGAGGAGGAGAAAGTTCAGGAAATGGAATAAAGCCATTGACCCCCCCAAGGGGCCCCCTTCCCACCAAGGGACCTTTCCTTTGTCCCTGTTTCCAATACCTCCTATTTCTCCCTCCTGTTCTGTCTCCGACCCCTTATTTCAGCCCAGCATCCAGGAGCAGACACAATAAGAGATATCTCTTCCTCTGACCAGTCTCAATCCCTCTCCAATTTTCTGGTCACTGTCTCCTATGTTTCTGGGGTGCCGCTCACAGTCCAGAGGTCCCCTGAGGATGTCACATCAGTGTCTGACTCCTGACTCCCATCTCAGAATGGGCCTGGGGGGTGGGAGGCTCTGGGAAGTTCTGGGCTGTGAGCCCTCCGTGCTGGGTACAGTGAGGTCCCTCTGGCCCCAGATGGAGACTTGCCTGGGCACCTGTGAAAGATGGAGCAGACCAATTAGGGCCACGTGGGGCAGACTGCTGGGTGTGAGTCTCCTAAGAATGGAAAGACTGGTGACTGTTTAAGTGCCTCCTACCCTGGAAAGACTAGCAGATGACAAGCTTTGATACCCTTTCAGATGCTCTAGAATCTGAAAGGAAAGAGAGAAAGGCCTGGTCCTCCTCCCACCACCACCAGGATGTAAGTTCAAGGCTAGGTTATTCCTTTAGATGGAACCACAGCTCCCACGTAAGCCACTCCGGTTTTGTTATATTTAGCCAACTAATTCTAATTGAATCAGAACTAGGCATACACTCACTTATAGAGGATTCTCTTATCCCTAGGACCTTCCTAGAACATAAACCAAAAGTCAACTGGACCCAAAGGCAACCTTGTGCTTCCATGGGTAGATCATCTTTGAAAAAATAACAACTGCTATAAAATTCAAAATTTATTCTAGGCTAAAATTACTTTAGTGTGAAAGCTATTAGTAGGATGAAAGATATAACCTTTCGAGTATCTGAGGGGTGAGGATAAGGAGTCTAAAAACTAATGGCCTCTTAGAATGCCACACCCCACACCCCAACTTGATTAGGACATATGAAGTGACAGAAGCTCATCCAAAGATAAACCAGGTAACTTGCTCCCTCTAGTGGTGAGTTTAGAGACCTGAAGGTTCTGCTTTTCCTTTGGGACAAAAAACAAATAAAAAAACCAACAAAAAAGAAAAAAAAAAAAAAAAAAACAGCAAAAGACTGAGTTTGGAAATGTATAGCTGATTTTTAAAACTATTTTTCTTTAAAAAGTGGCCTTGTGTTCCTTCTATTTGATAATAGTGCAGTTACTGTGGAATGAATGGCAGTTCTTTAATATAAGGCTAATGGTTTCTGCTGTAATTATTTTATAAAAAATTTAAAAGTTGTCCTTGTATAAGTGGTGTCTACATAAATTGTCTTTCATAATTCATATAAAATGAAAATTATGTGTTTATTTTATGAGTAATTGGTGTCTATATTAATTGGTTTTTGTAATCCATCTAAAATTGAAAATCGATGCTATCATTCTACTTGGATATTTTGGTAGATTTTTTTCAAGTATACTATTTCTATAATAATTATTAATATAATTGAGTTGATTATTGATCATGATCTAGTCATATTTTATATGATTATTAATAAACTTTAGATTAATATAATACTGGAGCAAAAAAATCTCTAAATATTTTTTTCAAATATATATATTGATTTCAGAGAGGAAGAGAGAGTATAGAGAGATAGAAACATCAATGATGAGAGAGAATCATTGATTGGCTGCCTTCAGCATGCCCCCTTCTGGGTATTAAGTCTGGAACTGGGGCATATGCCCTGTCTGGGAATGGAACGGTGACCCCTGGTTCATAGTTGATGCTCAACCACTGAGCCACACAAGCTGGGTAGATCTTAGCAACTTTCAACATTGTTACCTAGAGTTGCCATGGTGTGCTGAAAGTTTTTAAAAATATATACATTTTGTCCTCATTTATGTCCCATTATTCTATGTTATACTTCAAGAACACCTCTCATTTCATCCAGGTGTGGCTCAGTAGTTGAGCATTGACCTATGTATGAACCAGGAGGTCACAGTTATATTCCCTGTCAGGGTACATGCTCAGGTTGTGGGTTCTATCCCCAATAGGAGGAGGCAGGAAGCAGCAGATCAATGATTCTCTCTAATCATTGATGTTTCTATCTCTGTCCCTCTCCCTTCCTCTCTGAAATCCATTTTTTAAAATTTAAGAAAGAGAAAATAACATCTCTTATTTCTAGATTATTTGTAGGCTGGATTTCTATGACTTGTCCTTCACTACACTTCTGAGCTCTTCAAAATGTATGTATTCATTTTACATTTGGAAGTATTTTTGATGTGGATCTTCTCTCTATTTGAAGCCATGGCCGGCATGGCCTCGGATTCAAAGGCTTGGAGAAAGGGCTGACACAAATTAATACACAAGACAAGAAAAATAAATTTGAAAATTATGGGGAAAGCCAGGGAAAGCTTAGCTGTAGTAGCCAAGTTTCACTAAGTTTCTGTTCAGGTCTGCTTTTATTTACTAGAATACACAATTGCTTTTAGAAATGCAAACAGACATATCAATGGTAACATTTAGTAAACAGTCAGATTATCAGGTTGGGGAATTTGCTTAGGCCATTGAGTCAGCTGTAGGTAATAAAATGCAAATATTCACCCTGTAAATATCAAAGAGCCCAATTCAGCCTCTGACCCAGACTTCTCACATTTATATTAATTACTGTTGATCTTGGTTCTCAGCACTACTCATTAGATTTTTCACACCATCAAAGCTGTGGTCTATTGCTTCTAGAATGGAACCTACTGAGTTTTCCCTCCTTTTTTCATCCCTATGCTGTAATAACAGAGCACCGTGTTCCCTTTCTTTCTTACTTTCTGAAATCTAAGTCTATTCTTGTTTGGTGGTGGCTATATCCTCTCAACATGTTTCTATACCATGGCCATGTTTGGTACAGAATGCTGAGAGCAAGTGCCTGGCGTGGCCTATTCTAGTGATGAGGAGGGGGTGGGCCTCATCTCAGAAAAAGCCAAGGGAAACAAATTGGGGTGAGTAGGGACAGGATGTAGACACTCCGTGTGTGAGGTACCTCACTGAGCACTTTCTCTATGGATCTCATTTAGTCCTCACAAAGCTCCTAGCAATATGGTCTCAATACTCAACTGATTGGCAGTGTGCCTGGCCCTCTCTCACTTCTGCTGACTGGAGGGGATGGAGAGTGGGCCTCAGAGAGCAAGGGGGTTCTCTAGTCCACTGATAATGTTCACAGCTAATTTTTGTTTACACAAAAATATTATTCTCATGACACTTTCATGAGAGAGTTGGAAAGGTCATTGTCATTATCCTCGGAGAACAAGAAGCTAGGATTTGGATAAGCTCAGTTAAGACGGGAGCCCTGCCCTAACGGGTTTGGCTCAGTGGCTAGAGCATCTGCCTTCGCACTGAAGGGTCTCAGGTTCAATTCTGGTCAAGGGCAGGTTCCTTGGTTGCGGGCACATCCCCAGTAGGAGGTGTGCAGGAGACAGCTGAATCGGTGTCTCTCTCATCAATGTTTCTAAATCTCTATTCCTCTCCCTTCCTCTCTGTAAAAAATCAATAATTAAAAAAAAAAAAAAAAGAAGGAGCCCTGGTCCTGGATTTGTTGGATTTGTGCGTTGTCTTTGACGTCTGGAGCTGAGGCAACCAGTGACGGAAACAATTACAGACACAGGGCCTCCCAGCAGCAGTATCATATCCTGTTGTGCAACTTTTGGGAGCTATTAGGTCAGAGTGTCATCTAGTAGCTGTCCCAGAGGCCACGGCGGCAGTTGGAGTTGGATCCCATGAAGGATGAGGAAGGCCAGGTTCTGGGGGCTGCTGTGGACGTCCTTCATCCTAGGTAAGGCGAGGAAGAGGAGGGAGTGGGTGAGGCCCTTGCCAGGAGCCCCGGGTGATCCCACCATGAGAAAGGTGGGATCTCTGAAAGCTCCAGGAGCTCTGACTGCCCAAGTGACAGGGGACCAACAGTTTTGTTGGGCTGGCTTTGTCTGCGCAAATTTAGCAGCATCGGGGGTGATAATCCAGGTGGGCAGATGGAGGTTGGCTTTCATGAACCGGTGCCTTTCGTGTTTTTCAAAAGGAGAACTGTGACAAGAGCGAGGGTGGAGGGTTGTGTACTTGCCGTGTCCTGTGGGGAAGGCTTGGGGTTAGCGAAAAGCTCCTTCTAGCTTCTGGGAAGTAGAGTCACTAGGCATCCGTTCACACTTGGGCTGGGCCTGCTGATTGGAACTGGTGTCGGTATAACCCAAGGGATCTCAACCTTGGTATTATTGACATTTTGAGTAGGATGGTTCTTTATTCACCGGACAGTTTTGTGCATTGTACAATAGGATGTTTAGCAATATCTCTGGCCCTTACCAAAATGTCTTCAGGTATTGCCCAATGCCCCCAGGGAGGCAAAAGTGCCCTCGGTAGAAATACAGCAATTGAAGTTCCATATCCCACTGACCTATCAACTTTAGCGAGAAAGAGCATTCTTCTCAACAGTTACAGTAGTAGTCTCAGGGAGAATTCTAGTTGGCTCAGCCCCAGTCCTGTGCCCATTCCTAAACCGATGAGAGTGACCAGGGCGATGAGATTCTTTGATTGGCTAAGCCTGTGTCGTGTTCCATCCTTGAGAATGTGGGCAGCCCCAGGAGTAAAGCCACATAGGATTGGACCCCTGAGACGGAGGTGCTTTGGAATACCAGGGAGTCAGAGATCTGTGTCCGCCACTCCTCGAGATGGTTTCCTCGCTGTTTATTCAATAGTGTCTCGAACTGATCTCTTTTCCTGACTCAGATGAAGTTCCTCCAGCTGTTGGGAGGAGTTGATCTCTGCTAGTATAGTGTCCACGCATCCACTCCCCACTCTGTGTGCCTTTCTCTATAATCTTTCCCTCCCATCATGCCCTCATCATGCATGGTCTTAGCACACGTCCCATTGTTCTGTCTCTAATCAGGTACTTTCTTCCTCTCAAAAACAAACTATAATCATAAAAGTGTAATATGCTAATCAGACTGGACATCCTTCGGGACGTTCTTCCTTCTGGACAAAGCCGCAGCTGGCGCGCAGGGGGGAGGGGGTTTGAGGCAGAGGTGGCAGAGGCAGAGACCCCCCACCCACTTCCCGGCTGCTATAGCAGCGGGGAGGGGCAGGGGCCAAAGCCTTTGCATGAATTTTTTGCTTCGGGCCTCCAGTCATTTATAAAAAAAGCAATTTGTAAGAACCATGTGCAGTCTAGCTGGTGTTGTTAAAAACAATCAAACAAAAACTACTCACAGTGAAAGTTGCCTCTTTCCTGGAGGCCATAAGGATCTTGTCTGAAAAAAAAAAAAAAAAGGTGGTTGGACAAGAAAAAGAGGTGGTATCTTTCTTTCTTTCCAAAGAGAGGAAAATGTACAGAGTCACCTTTGCTTCCCTGCTTACAGAACTCCAAGGTGCGCCCACATCAGAGAGCAAGCGTACGCTGACCGAGGGGACGCACCTGTTGGAGAAATGTCCTGTCAGTGTGAACAAGTACTTGCACTACCGGAAGGCGTGGCAGAGGCTGGGAGACGGAGGGGAGATCCAGACATTAGTCAATACAGAGTTGACCTCAGGGATGAACTCCAGAGTCCAGATGGGCAGGTACCTCCTAGACGACATGCCCTGTGAGGGCATAATGTACGTTCACATGTCCGACCTGCGCCTGGAGGACTCGGGACTGTACCGGTGTGTGATCTACCAGCCACCCAAAGCCCCCATCCCACTGCACCAGCCCATACGCCTGGTGGTGATAAAGGGTGAGTGGCCTGGGCTGGGAGGTGAAGCGGGAGAGCCGGGGTGGGTGGGGGCAGGGCTGTGGCCCAGGGTTTCCAGCAGCCTGTCTTTCTCCCAGAAGCTCCAGGCCTGTCATTTGAGGTCCCCGAGAGGCATTTGGTCCAACAGTGAGAAAGGGTTTCTATGTATGAGTCCTCTTGGACAAGAGTCTGATGTGGGGTGCTCTTATAGGAAGAGGGGTACAGTGAGAAGTGAGTGGTAGACGTGGGATAATTTTGTCTTATTTTGCAGGGTTCCAGGTAGAATTGATTAGCCAGAAGGTCTCTGGGACCTGCTCTCGCCTTCCCAAAGGTGCATTGGATGGCCCTCCTATGTGCTTACAAAGCAGTGCTTCTTAGATCTCCCTGTGGGCACGGATTAACTGGGGATCTTATTTCAAATACAGATGGATTGGATGGGCCTAGGGTGGGACCTAGATTCAGTATCTCTGATTTGCTTAGAGATGATGCTGATGCTGTGGCCCATGGCTCCCAATTGGAGTAGCAAGGCTCCCGAGCTCACTTTGCATCCCCGTTCACAGACAACACCTCTCACTGAGTGGTAGTGGCCAATTCACTTATCTGTCCCCCTTATTTATCTCTGAGCACGAGGGAGGAGCCTGTGCCCAGCTCAGGTCTGTATCCCCAGCAAATAATGTAGTATGATTCATGCAGTGCGGGGCATAGAGTAGGTCTGCAATAGATGTTGGTCTGATGAATTCAGAAAGGCGGAGGAAAGGGAGACAGGTTCAAGTTCCTAGGTAACCTATGCAATATGTTAATAAAAAATGACTGGTGAAGCAATATGCCACAGGTATAGGTGAGTGCAAGGCAGAGGGGATGGTGAGAGCTGGAGGAATCGAGGATTATTCTTGAGAAGGTGGGGGCATATGGATTGGTGAAGAATAGCAGGCAAGTGCATTTCCAAGGACATGAACAGAAAATTCCTTTCTCCTTCTCTTTTTTCCTCCTTTCCTTCTTTTCTTTTTTCCTGTCTCTGGCCCAGGCTGACCCTACACATTAAAAAAAAAAAAAAAAAATCTTAGCCAAAGGAAACCTTGTGTCATGAATGTCAAAGTTCACTTCCCTCCTCAGATCCATTTACCCTGTGACCCATCCATCCATCCAATGTGTCTTCTTACAGATCCTGCCTCACACATTGATTCTATCAAGAATCTGGTTCGGAGTTCCACTCTTCCTCCTGTGAACACCACGACCCGGGCCAGGACCCGTACCAGCACCCGTCCTGTGACTCAGCCAATGTCAACTGCCAGCCTCGGAGTCAACCCCACACACAAGACAGACACCCCCAGGTCTCTCCGTGGGGGCTGGGTGGTGGGTTTGGACTCTTTGATTCCCAGTCCTGGTCCTGAGAGGATGTGGGGGGTGAGGGATGGGGAGGGAGAAGCCCAGGAGCAGACGAGTCACTTCCATCTGCTAGGACTTCCTAGGGTGGAGGGAGTGGAGCTAGAGGGGGGAGGAGGTTCTGGCCAGGCTGCCCTCTCCCCAGTTCACCCTCTCTCCTGGGGTGCCAGAGGAGGGTGAAGTGGCATCTTTGCTAAATTCCCATGCTTATTTCTGTTTGTACACGTTTTAACACAGTTCTAAATATTTTCATTAATTTTCTGTGCCAAAACTCTTCTTTCATGTGCTACCTAGTCTTCCTAATTATAATTTCAATGAATGTCTACTTTTGTATCTATGGGGAAACCATAACTTAGGTAATCCTTGGCCTGTTTTTAGATGTTGAGATTGTTTCCTCTTTTTCATACTATAAACTCTGAGATGGGCATATTTTTGCAGGTGTCTTTTCCTTTAAATCATTTATTCAAACAGAAGTGCAGTGAGGAACCATAGAACGTGTGCACCGCTCTGTATACCAAACGTTCCTCCAAAGACGGGGAGCGGTGTGACCCATAAGGCACATGAGGGCATGGTTGCTGCAGGCAGCCCTCTGGGGACTTTCTGCAGCAGGCTCAAACCCAGGCACAGGCCACAGAGAGGAGGGCCAGAGAGGCCCTGGGCTGGCTGGCACCACCCCATGCCCTGCCAGCCTGCAGCACCACTGGTGTCTGACCTTGACCAGGCCACCTGCCACATCTCCTTTCCGGTGACTCAGGACAGTTCCACAGGCAGGGGGTGGACGGAGGCCACAGGTTTGCTTCCCACTTTCTAGAGCCATTTTGTCGTTGGGCACTTTGCCTGTTTGTACATTTGGTTTTTAGTTTTGTGTAGGAAACACCAATTCTAAAGTCACTGCGTTGTTTTATTCCTTCCGTGTGCTTGATTCTACTTCCTGGTGGCTTTTCAATTATCTAAAAATGTCAAATTTAAATTTAAATTTTGGATTCTTACATAACATTAGATCTGCCTCTGGATTTCAATATGTTTCACTGCCACCTTTTCTCCCTTGGTTCCGTGTCTTCTCACGCCGGCCGCTTGTGCTGTAACATATTTTCATGTCTCTGAGTGTAGGCAGACCAAGTCTCCTCATTCATTTCTATGCTTTTCTTATCGATCTAATGACAGTTACCTAGGACATTGAGAGTCATTTTTGCTAAAAATCTATAAAAATTCCTGATGGGATTTGAATAAGGATTGGGTTCCTCTTGGCTGAGGAACGGAGGAGAAAACGGAGGCCAAAGAGGTGAGGGCCCTTTCCCGGAAGCAGGCTGAGAATGGAAACCAGGCTTCCTGGCTCTGGGTCCGCTCCTTCCAGTCATCACAGTGGAGGAAGAGGAGTTTGCTCATCCTACCCCTTCCCCTCGCTGCCTCTCCTGGCCCCCTGTTCTCTACTACACTTGCTTCGGCAGTTTTAGGCAATGGGACAAACCAAATGCACAGAGGCAGGCAGTCAGTGTGGGGAGAGGCTCTGGAAGAAGCCCCGTCAATAAATAGTGGTGAGGGCAGCTGCGTGGAGGAAAGCTCAAGGATGAGGAGTGCCATTGCCAGCAGCAGCCTTACCTCTTCTCTCCCCTCAGGATCTCTACGACCAGCATCATCACCATCGTGGTGTGTGGAATCCTCAGTAAGAGCCTGGTCTTCACACTCCTGTTGATCGCCACTCAGAGGTCATTTGGCAGCTAGGGCCATGAACCCAGAATGCCCCTCGACCTCCATCCACGACCATCTGGCAGTTGTGCGAGAAGAAGGCTGTGAAACGGGAGGCAAGGGGGTGGGAGGGTGGGGAGGGCAATGACTGAGTTGATCTGTAACACGGGTTATTTCTAAGGCTCAGGGTCCACCTTGCTGGCCCTGCTGACTCCCCTCATTTCAATAACAACCTTGGGTGTGAGCTTTGCCCCCCTCCCCCCCCCCCCCCCCGAAGAGAAGATACAGCCCCTAATGTGCCCTGGGCCTCCATTCCCCTAGCGGCCTAGGGTTTGCATTAAATAAAGATGGATCCAGTGCTTTTTTTTTTTTTTTTTTTTTTTTTTTTTTTTAATGTATTGTAACAGCGAAGTTACAGGAATAGCACAGAAGACAGACAACATTAAAAACATGTATTAGCCTGTAGGACAACTAAGTTAGGAGAGTATAATGAATGGATGGAATGTACCATTGGATAAAAATGTTACAAATACCATTTAGTTGCCATCAATAAGAAATTTATGTGTCCCCCCCCCCCCCAAATGCTGGCATTGTCCAGAAAAACTGAACAGGTTTATTTATATTGTTATAAAGTTGAATTTCTGAAACTTATTTACTGAAACATTTGACTTGCATCAATTCTTTATGTCCCCGCATTTATAATAAAAAAAAAATGCACACACAAATGATAATGGCACACACAATGCCATGGGGAGAAGTCCCCTTAGGGCCAGAGACACTGAGTGAATCAGAAGGCAGCATCCCGGAGCAATACTTATTTCTGTGCCCTATTTTCAACTTGCAGTCATATACTTAGGTCTTTGACCCCATGAAAAAAAACCCCCTGATGTTCAGAACTACCAAAAACAGGAAGAAGAGATTTTTTTTTTTTTTTTAAAGATTGAAATGTTTTGCATCATAGTGGATTCTGAAGCACGTTCTCCACGTATGCGGCATGCTGGCTGATGTCCCCTGGCATAATTGTTACATGTTTGGCATGGATAGCACGTAGGTTGGTGTCTTCAAAAAGGCCACCAAGATCGGCCTCACTGGCCTCCTGCAAAGCACCAATCGCCGCACTTTGGAAGTGCAGGTGTGTTTTGAAGTCCTGAGCAATTTCTCACACCAGACGCTGGAAGGGAAGTCTGCAAATAGGAAGTTCATTGGACTTCTGCTAACTTCTAATTTCAGGAAGTGCCAAGGTGCCAGGCATGTAACAATGAGGTTTCTCCACCCCTCCAGTAGAGGGCGCACTCTTTTGAGCGGCTTTGATAGCCAGATGCCTCCTTGGTGCTTTACCCCCATGGATTTGCGGGCAGTCTACTTTGTAGGTGGCATGGTATGGAGACCTCCTTACTTACCCTCCGTCTCCTTCTGCCTGAGGCTGCGCAGGCCTTAGAGAGCAAAAGGCAGCTGCGTACGCCCCAATGCTTTTCACTGTCACTCGCTGTCCTGTGGGGTCATGAGGTACAGAGGTCACAGCTGCTACTAGTAAATCTGCCTTGGTCCTTGCCCTGGACCAGAGCACTGGGGCCGGACCCTGGCAGAGCTGCACCATAGAAGCCTCCTGCTCTCCTGGCCTCAGGGGCCTTCTTTTCTTCTAGAATCAGACGCTTCCATTGCAGTCCTTTCCCACACTCCCAGGAAAGGATGTTGGAAGCCATGGAGTGAGGAGAAGACACAATGCCATGGGGAGAAGTCCCCTTAGGGGCAGAGACACTGAGTGAATCAGAAGGCAACATCCCGGAACAATCCTGGGAGGATGGGACAGGCTTGGAAGGGTGAAACTGGTAGAGAGTATTGCTGACAGAGCATCATTGGTCTACTGTGTGCATCATCCCTGCACCCTCAGAACAAGCCTGGGAAGGAGAGCAGAGTGGCTGGAATGAGGCCACATGAATAGAAAGCCATCCCTTGTTGGCGGGAACAAAAATTGAAATTCCCTTTCCTGAAGCCTAAGCCCAAGAGAAGAGAACAACCAGGAGGTTGTCTAGTGGTGATCGTGCCAGTGATGCTACAGCCTCTCCCCTGCACACTGGAAGCCACTCGAACCTGCCACCATACTGTTCATGGGTTTTCTACGTGCACTATCTCCAACTGGCCCCACATCTTTCATCACAGGATCATGCGTTTGGTCAGGCTTAGGTCATGTCCCAAGCCTGTGCCGTAGGGCCCAGGGAGAGGTGGCAGGAGGAATCTGCCTCCATCTCAACAGAAGGGGGTGGGGAGCTTTGCGTCCTAATGAGACCTACACATTGGGACATATCCCCCAAGTGGAAGAGGCATGGGGGGCTGGATACTCAAAAGATGACAAATATTCACTACATATCCTCCGAAGCTGGTAGGGTTAAGTGAGATCATCTGCGTAAAGCACAGGGTACATGAGGGTCTTCGATTCATGGCAGGTAGTCACTCCCAGTAGCATTACACGGTGGTCTCTGTGCCTCTGTGCCTCTTTTCCGCAGGCTGAGGACCCGGAAAGCCTTGGGGCCCCTCTGACCTCATGCAGAGCTTTGCCAGGCATCATCCATTTGGACCACTTGCCTCACCATCACCTGTGCTGCTTGTTCAAGTGCAGATGCTGGGCCCGCTCTAGACTTCCTAAACTGGAGTCTCGGGAGTGGAGCCCACACGTGTGTAAGTTTGCTGGGCTTCCCAAGTGATGGAGCCACATGCTCATACTTGAGGAGCATGGTGTGGAGTGAGCTTAAATAAGGCACCCCATCAGGAGGGTGTGAACCAGACCTTGAAGGGTAACCGGATGTGGATGTACCGGAGGGGCTCGGGAGGCAGTGGTCGGTGCCCCGTGATGAGGCTGTCTCGGTTCCCTGAGGAAGTGAGTTGAGCAGAGGTGGGAGGTCCGATGGCGGTCGGGGCTCGCTGTGGCGGGAACGGGGTGTTGCCCCAGAGGCTGTGGCACAATGACAGCAGGAAGGAAGGTGTCACAAGGACAGTGATCTTTTTCCTCCTTCTGCATTTTCCCACACTGGTACCTGTCACTGCAGTTACCTCAACTGCACAGTAACAGCTACCCCTCTCCGAGGAGGTGGACAATACCCACATGGGGCAACACCCCCCAGCAATGGCTACAGCCCCTGGGATGGCCAACACCTGAAGGATAGAATGGACAGGACGGGGCTCTGGGGGCGGCCACAGCGGCGGCTGCTGTAGCTGCTGCTCTGGGTCTCAGGTGAGGAGAGGAAGGGCGAGGGACGGAGGTGGCCCAGAGGAGGTGCCTACTGAGAGGGATCTCTCACTCCTTCAGGAGGACTGGGATGGGATCCCGGTACATGCTAGAGTCAGGAATGAGGGAAGGAAGGAAATGAAAGCAGGCTGTGCTGCTGACCCCGACCCAGCAGGGCTGGGTGACGAATGGATGCTGGAGGGTCCCTCAGGGCATCTCCAAGTTGAGAAAATGTGCGAAGTCACCAAACAACCCCTCCTCGCTGTGCTGACAGCCTGGGAGATGTAAAGCAGTGGAAGGCATGGGCCCTCCTCAATCAGAAAGCCTGTCTACCCACCTAGTCCAATACTTCCGCCCGAGCTGCCCAATAAACTTTCTCCTTTTGAACCAGAGAATTGGAGAGGCTTCCACCACACCGAACCCTGCTCTCCACTTCCTGCATATCCCAATATGTAAATACTAGAGGCCCAGTGCATGGATTCGTGCACATTGAAAGAAAATTAATTGGAAGATGGCTGGTGGGGAAGGACTGGGAGATATGGGCAGGGCATGCCCTAGAGCCAACCTCCCACAGTCCCTCCACTGGCTGACCACATGGGGCAAAGGGCTCAAAGAGTGTCTGTATAGGAGTGTATAGGGTTCCTCAGCCTGCCCTGCGGGGATCAGGCTGAAACCAATAGTCTGACATCCTTCAAGGGGTCCTGGAGTGTGAAAGGGCACCCAGCAAAATTGCTGTTGCTTGGTAGCTCCTGCATTAAGTGTCTACCCCCTGGTGGTTGGTGCGTGTCACACCTACTGTCTGGGTGACTGGTGGCTTAGCCTTTTATATATATTCTTAGAGGCCTGGTGGGTGAAAATTCATGCACTGAAAGGGGGTTCCCTCAGCCCAGCCTGCTCCCTCTCATAGTCCAGGAGCCCTCAGGGGTGAGAGGCAATCTGGCGATCAGGGGAAGGCGATGTCCCATGACACCTCTGCTGCCTCTACTGCTGGCAGCGCAAACCTTGGCCAGTCCTGGTTACCTGAGCCTCAGGCAGCCCTGGGCAGCTGGGCAGGCATCATCCGAGGCTTGCCTGTGCCTCAGGCTGGCCCTGGGAAGCTGGGGGGCTGAGGGGACTGGGAGACTCTGGAGGCAGGTGTGCAGAGCAGCCAGGCCCACCTGCTGGCTTGGTGGGATAAGAGGACTGGGAGGTGCCATCTTGTGGCTGTGGGTGCTGCCATCTTTGAAGGCATGGCAGCCAGTTTGCACATGCCCTCCTTATTGGCTGTGGGCACCACCATCTTTGAGGGTGGGGCAGTCAATTAGCATATTCCCTTTTTATTAGATGTGGGAGCTGCCATCTTTGCCAGGGCATGAGAGTCAATTAGCATATTCCCTCTTTATTAGATAGGATATAAAGAGGTAACATGCAAATGAGCCAGGACACCGTAACATCACAACCACTCAGGAGGAAGCTGCGTGTGCAGGTGGGTGGGAGGGGAATGTGTGTGCAGTGAGGTAAGCCACAGATGGCACAGACACACAGAGAACAGAGCTTGCTAGGCACAGTGCACTGGCAGTCCTGCCTCTGTGTGTGAACTGCAGAGGAAACACTTTCTCTGACTGCTCGTTGGGTAAGCTCCCCGTATGCCATGCTGTGTTCTTGGTCACTTGGATAATAAGAACCCAAGAAGGTGATCTAGGGTCTTTCCACCTCACTCCTGGAGGGGAAAATGAAGGTCTGCTGCTGGACGGGCTAAGAAATGTCATATTCTGCCCTAAGGTTTGGCTCAGTGGATAGAGCCTCAGCCTGGGTTTGATTCTGGTCAAGGGCA